TAGTCATCAGCCCCAAGGCACATAAGGTCTGTGACTGAGAATCTTGGTTACCTGCTTCTGGGCACACAGGGTTGGAGTGGTCCTGGGTCTTGCTACCTGTGACAGACAGACTCGAACATTCTTTCCTACCTTGGCCCTTCCTGGTCCTGAGAAGCCAGAGCCCTCCTGAGCCTTTGTCTTGGCATGTGCTAATACCTATGGGCATTTCTCCTGAAGGAACAAATTCAGGCCTTGGTGGTGAGTTCTGGCCCCCAAAATGCTGTATTCCAGGAAACTGAGAGCCACATACATGGCCTCTTTGACACTCTCCCAACAGCAAGCACTGACTGTCCTGAGATCTGCCTCAGTGACAAGACTGTCCCATAGAGCATCTGTGACAAGTCATAGGACAGAAGCTGGATGGAAACAAGAATTGGCCACACAGAGATTATCTTTGCATCGGTTCTAAGACCATGGGTGAAAACATCCTCTTATACTTGCCTTTATTTTATTTACTTATTTATATTTACCTTTTTAATTTTTTATTGTGAAAATACTGTACAGAGGGGTTACAATTACATGAGCAAGATAATGAGTACATTTCTTATCAAGCATTGTAGTCTCCTCCTTTGTTTCCCCTTCCCATCCCATCCTCCCCCTATATTTACCTTTTCTGTGTGTGTGTGTGTGTGTGTGTGTGTGTGTGTGTATATACCAGTAGTGGAGCTTGAATGCAGAGCCTCAGGCTCTTCCTTAGCTTTTTTTGCTCAAGTCTGGTACTCTACTGCTTGAGCCATACCTCCATTTCTGGGTTTTTGCTAGTTAAACAGATAAGAAGCTCTCATATTTGTGTTCCCAGGCTGGCTTCGAACCTTGATCCCTCAAATCTCAGTCTCCTGAGTAGTTAGGATTACAGGTGTAAGGTACTGGCACTCAGCTTACAGTTGCCTTTAGGGGCACAGAAATTGGACAGGTCTGGGTTCCAGTCCAAACTGCCATTCCCAGCTCCAGGACCCTGGATATCTCTTCCTCCCTCTGAGCTATTTGCACATGGGTATCATAGAGTCCTAGGAGAACCCTCAGAAGATGGTTAAGGAGCTTGTGGTGGGGGGTGGGCAACCTAATCCTGCGCACAGCGACATTCCATCTATAGCAGCCCACACTGAGGTCACAAGGTAGAGCTAGCTCCTCCCTGGAGACTGGCTGTACCAGGCTGGCTACGTCCATAGGTATAAAGGGAGCAGAGAACAGGAGCTTCCTCACCTTCCCTCCACACCCACTCCTCCCAGCCCTCCGCCTTGAACTTTTGCCTCATTCTCTCATTCTAGATGTAGCAATGCTTATTGCTACCGCTAAAAGCAAGAATGGAAGTAGGCAGAGGGGTGTGGGCAGACAGACGGCTGACAGGACTGACTGCCTCACCAAGAAGGAAGAAGCATTTAGTGAACACTTTCTACATGCATTGTATTCCAATGTAGCTCCCCAGACGTGACTGATGCAACCTGCCAGTGAGCTCGAGTTCACACCGTGTGCAAGAAAAGGGCCAGACCACTGCTTTATCCCCCATCCCCACCCCGGTGGTCTCAGCAGGCGGCAAAACTGGTATGGGGGAAGAAATGGAAATCTGTTTTCAAGCTTTTCTTTTTCTTTTTTTCTCCTTATTTTTGGTTGGCCATGGAGCTTGAACTCTGGGCCTGGGCACTGTTCCCTCAGTTCTTCAACTCAAGGCTAGCTACTTGAGCCACAGCACCACTTCCGGTATTCTGAGTGATTTATTGGAGAGAAGAGTCTCACAGACTTTCCTGCCTGGGCTGGCTTTGAATTATGATCCTCAGCTCTCAGCCTCCTGAGTAGCTAGGATTACAGGTGTGAGCCACCGGTGCCCAGCTTTGTTTTCAAGCTTTTTAAGGCCAGGAGGAAGAGAGTAGCTGGAGGCTCCATTGGGATAGAGTAAGAATCTCGGTACAACTGTGGTTGTGGAAACCATGAGGGGAGGATTTTGTGGGAAGGGACTCAAAGATTCCAAGGAACTGGGCACTGGTGGCTCATGCCTGTAATCTTAGTTACTCAAGAGGCTAAGATCTGAGGATTGCAGGTTGAAGCCAGCCCAAGCAGGAAAATCTGTGAGGCTCTTACCTCCAATTAACCACCCAAATTCCAGAAGTGGAGCTGTGGCTCAAGTGCAAGAGCACTAGCTTTGAGTACAGAAACTCAGAGACAGTGCCCAGGCCCCAAGTTCAAGTCCCAAGAACAGCACCAAAAAATGAAAAAAAAAAAAGATTCTGAGGACACTAGGCATAGTGGTACATGCCTATAATCCCAGCACTCAGGAGGTAGAAGCAGGAATAAGATAGGTCTCAGGTTCTCGAGTCCCATCTGGCTTGGGCTACATAGTAAGAACCTTGTCAAGAAAGAGAGAGAAAGAAAAAGAAAAAAAGAAAGGAAGGAAAAGAAAGAAAGGGCAGGAAGAGAAAGGTAAAAGAAGAGAAATAAGAAAAAGAAAAGAGTGTGGGAAGGATGAAGGGAGAGAGAGATTGAGAGAAAGAGATTGAAAGAGAGAGAGAGAGAGAGAGAATCAGACCATCATGAAGTCCCCGTGAAGAACATTTGCTTGGGCTGGACCAGCTGGGGAGAGAAGGAACATTAATAAGGAGCACTGCACAACAGCATTGTGTTAATGTGGTGGTAAGAGTTGCTTTCAGTGGACTTAGTGCCCAGGTTGAATTCGAAGGCAGGAAGCTTCGGTTCTCTTGAGTGCTTTCTGCACTAGGGAGGAGGACAGAGCTCCCTGCCCTTCAACTAAGGAACCAAAGGAATAGCTGATCAAAGAACACAAGCAGGGCTGCAGCCAGGGACCCAAATTCAGGCCATCCACTAGGTGGACCTCCATAGTTAGTGAGGTGCTAGAGGAGAAGGTTCCGATTTCCCCAGGCCTGTGGTTGGGGGAGATGATCCAGAAGTGATGACAGATCTGTCAGATGTAGAGAAGCTAGAGGTAGTGGCTCCAGCTGGGCTGTGTTACCTGACTCTGTGTGTGTGTGTGTGTGTGTGTGTGTGTGTGTGTGTGTGTGTGTAGATTTACCAGGAAAAGAAGAGAGGATAAGAAAATGGTCTTCACTGGAGATCTGCCTGTGACAGGTACTGGGCTAGGTGCCTTCATGCCTCTCCTCTTTGAAAATGCATGACACATAAAAATTTGAACGTGTCCAGGTGTGGTAGTACATGTCCGTAATTTGTGAGGCTGAGGCAGGAAGATCGTGAGATTGAAGCCAACCTGGCTACATGGTGAGACCCTAAGTCAAAAATAAAAAAGTTGTTCATGAGTGTTTGTGATACCGGAGACAACCCAACTGTTTATGAACCAAATAACAGCAAAACTAATGTAATCTATCCATACAATGGAGTATTATTCAGCCACAAAAAAGAATGAAATGTCAACATATGCTACAACACGGGTGAATATTATTGAAAGAAGCTAATTACAAAAGACCCATCACAGACTGAAATATCTAGATAAAAGCAAATCCAGGGGCTGGGAAGGTGGCTCAGTGGTAGAGCAAGCTTGCCTTGCATGCTTGAGGCCCTGGGTTTGATTCCTCAGCACCACATAAGCAGGAAAAAAAAGCCAGAAATGGTGTTGTGGCTCAAGTGGTAGAGTGCTAGCCTTGAGCTGAAGAGCTGAGGGACAGAGTCCAGCCCAGAGTTCAGGCCCCATGACTGGACCAAAAAAAAAAAAAAAAAGCAAATCCAGACAGGCTGAAATAGATCAGTGGCTGCCTTGAGCTGTGGAGAAAAGGAGTATGTGGGGGGGGCACTACTGATGGTAGAGGGCTTCTTACTGGGGTGATAAAAGTCTTGTACCATTAGGTAGTGGTGATGGTTGTATGATTTTGTGGGCTGTGAGTTTTAACAGGGAGGATTTTATGGTATGTGAATTATGTCAATGAAATCAGAAAACAGTCATCAGGTTACTAGGCACCTTCTTATGGATTGCAAAATGCCGGCTTGAGGGGGCTCAGGGTCTTCATAGCCCTTTCTGAGTTTGCCTTCTAGTACTGAAGATGGAGAAGGAAGTAGTCTGGGAGTGTCAGGGGTGTCCTCAGGTTAGTTTCCAGGCTCCACAAGGCCATGCTGAATGAGGGGAAACTCCAGTTTGTGGGGAGAGGGACTTGAAACAATGTGGTTAGCTTCCCACAGGAAGTGGAGCCTCAGCAAGAGGAAGGCCCTGGTCTCTATCTCAAAGCTTGGCTGGAGTCTCCCAAGGCTGGATTTCCAGGTTCCCTGTGGAGACGTGGCTCCAGAGGCCCTCGGAGATGCCTTTGAAGGCAAGCTGTCTACTTGTAGTGTTTACCAGAGATGAAAGCCAACGCACAGGGAGGCCAAGGATCCAAGACAGCCCTGCCTCTGACCAGCCATCATGCCATTTGTCCCAAAGGCATTAAATGCGATGAGCTCTGAGGGCCCTTTCTCACTGACCAGCTGTCTGTCTGCCTGTCTGTCTGTCTTGATATAAGATTTGGGGACTGGACTGGCTATGTGCAGGGTGGTACGCTATGTTGGAGTATCTGTTCTATGTACACCCAGGAAAAGTCTCGACCATGATTCTGGACCCTGCATTGACCCCTGTTTCCAGCCCCCAACACCCAGCTCTGATCCTTGCCAGAGCCAGACAGACCCTGGCCCCGACTCCAGGAACACATGCTGTCTTATGGCTGGAAGCCAAGGCTGGCGGAGGCTGCAGGCTCAGCCCTGCTGTTGGAGCCATTGTTCGAGAAGTTTCTGAGAAGCAAGACCAACATTTTCTCTTTAGTAGATTCACGCAGGGAGCAGGGTGACTTGAGAAATAGTAGGTCCCTGGCAAAGCCATATGTGTCACACCCTGTGAGGAAGGGCCGCTCCACGTATCCTCAGGAAGGCTCAGATACACACCAACTCCTAAGTTCCTGCCTACCTCCCCCTCCTCACCCCACGAATCCCTTCTCCGGGACTTTTAGTTCACCTCCCGGCTGGTTGTCTCACAGGACCAGCAAGCGAAGGACCCCAGATGCCAGACAAGGACACCAAAGCTACAATGGTCACAGAAGACACATCTGTGGGCAAAGCCTGCCCAGAACCCCAAGATGTGCAATCACGTGCATTCCACAGCATCAAGGTACCTCTGGGGCTGGGCAGTGGTGGGATCTTCTGGAGAAGGGGAGGCTGGGGATCCAAGAGATGGTGTACAAATGTCACTCTTAGCTTGGTTTGGGTCACTGAGAAGGTTCTCTCCTTCCAGTGAATAAACAGGTTCTGTTCTGTGGGAAGTCTGGGGAAGAGGCCTCTTGTCTCCCATTTCTCTAATGAAATAATCCTGTCCTGACCCCACAAGGGTGGCCCTAAATAGCCCACATAACCCACACATACCTCTTGTGCCAGGCCCTATGCCAAGTACGATTCATTGTTCATGCATGATGTATTCCTTTTGTTTCCCCCTTGATGCTGTGGATTAGAACCCTGGGTCTCATTCATACTAAGCAGAAGCTTTACCACTGAGCCACCTTCCAATTTCGACCATCACTCTAGCAAGCTGGATCTTTGTCGTTGTGCAAATGAGCAAAGAGAGACTCAGAAGAGCAGAGTGCAATACATTAAGCTCTAGAACAAATACCCTTTTTTTCTTTTTGCCAGTCATGGTGCCTGAACTCTGGACCTGGGTGCTGTCCCTCAGCTCTTCAGCTCAAGGCTAGTGCTCTACCACTGGAGCCACAGTGCCACTTCCGGCTTTTTCTGCTTATGTGGTGCTGAGGAATTGAACCCAGGGCCTCATGCATGCAAGGCAAGCGCTCTACCACTGAGCCACCTTCCCAGCCCCAAACAAATACTCTTTTTTAAATTGAAATTATTTGAAGTGGGTTTTTCTTTCCTTAGGAATTCAATGGATTTTTCTGGTGCAAGGCCATAGGCAGGCTAAGTTGTTTGAGGGTTGAGGGGTTAGGTAGAGCTCAGAGTAGGGGCTGGTCTCCAGGCCAGTTGTAGGGGAGGACTAGGTAGGAGTGAGGTGGAGGAGGACCTGGGCAAATCACAGAGAGCTTCCTGGAGAAGGGAGCAGGATGGTGGAATAGGGAAGAAGGTCCAATCCAGTCCTTGGAGAGCTCTGAGGATCAGAAGGAGCACCTACCATTCCTGACCCCACAAAGCCACTATATTTAGTCATGGGGTCTCTAGTCACCCCCGGAGCCCTGAAAAGTGTACCCAGGACAGCTTTTGTAGTATTCAGATTTATGGAAGAAGTCATAGGTTGCTCTAATAACCAATTCTCTCTCTCTTTCTCTCCCCCCTTTCCCTCCTCCCATGTGTCCACCTCCTCCTGTGTGGCCCCCATCTCTGTTCTGTGGGATCCCACTCTCTCTGTGTCCCCACCCCATCTCTGTATCCCTGGTGACCACTCACCTCCAACTGTGCCCTGCCGCTTGTCCCCATCACTGTGCCCGTCCACAGTTCTTCGTCCTGTGTCACAGCCTGCTGCAGCTGGCGCAGCTCATGATCTCCGGTTATCTCAAGAGCTCCATCTCCACGGTGGAGAAGCGCTTTGGCCTCTCCAGCCAGACCTCAGGGCTGCTGGCTGCCTTCAATGAGGTACTGAGACCCAAGGGTGGGTGCCAAGGGAGATTCCTTTCACACCTTCTTCCAGCCTCCTCTCACTGTCCACCCTCCCAGGGTCCTCCCAGGGCCCTCAGCAGCCCCCACATTGTGAACCCCCTTAACATGTTCCTCCTGCTGCGTCCTGGCCCAGAAGCTGGCCAGCCACATACTCAGGGTGGAGGCCCAGAGGAGACTCCTCCCTCTTGGATCTTCCTTGTGTGTGTAGCTATCTTCTAATACCCCTGGGCCTGCCCTGGGAGAGCACTTCACTGGGAGACATGAAGGAACTACCCAGGGTCCTAGTGTCTACTTGCTTGCCCTCTGACTCCTTTATTTTTTAGGGTTCTGGGGTTGGAACTCAGAGCCTCATGCTTGCTAGACAAATATTCTATCACTGAGCCAAACTCCCAGCAGTCTTTTTGAGACTATCTGGGTGAGTGCTTGGACCACAGTCTGACTATTTACATTTCCTAGGGTGCTAGCTAGGAGGACAGGTGTGCCCCACTAGGTCCAGCTATTGGTTGAAAAGGATCTTGTGAACTTGTTTTTCTTTTTCTTTTTGGCCCAGGTTGGCCTTGAATGACAGTCCTCCTAATCTCAGCCTTCCAAGTCGCTCAGATTATAGATAAGAGCTACCAGAGTCTGGCTTCCTTTATGTATTTCAGCATGCTATTGATTGTCCTAGGAAAGAATCAAAGAAAGTCACTGGTACTGTCTGAAGAGAGGCTTCAATTACAGCTAGAGCTCTCTCTGACCTTGGGGTGGCAGGAGGGAGGGTGATACGGTGATGGAGTATCTGTCTTCAGGATTGTGGGAGGGAGGTGTGATCTTATTCAGTGCTGTGCCTCGCTGACCCCCATCCATAGCCCTCGGCCTAGGGCTCACAGCTCCTGACAGGGGAGAGTGAATGAGCCACTCTGAGTGGATTTGAACATCAGAGGTCAGCTCTGCCCCTCCCTTCCCCCACCAAATGTCACTCACAGAAGGAAGCTGTCTCCCCGCTCCTACCCATCTCCTCCAAAGAGCTCTATAAAATTCTCTCCCTGGGGGTAATCATATTTCTCCTGACCCAAGGCCCACTAGCGGCACAGTGCCTTAGTCACAGATGTGACTCAGACTCACCTCAGATGTTGGAAGGGAATGAGTGCACAACTGGAGAATGGACAGTGGTGTCCTCCCTCTCCAGAGTCAGTCTCCCCACCAGTACACTGCTGGCACGGCCTCACTATCCTTCAAGGAGCCTGGGGCTCAGCCAGCCACAAGCCGGGAAGCACAGGGGCAGAGGCACCTGCCCTGTAAGCGTCTAAGTCCTTCCAGTGTTGAATCCCAAGTCTGTGATTGTAAGGCTAGAAATGCCAAGCTTCAGTCCTCTGGCTTCAGATAGACTGCATTTGTGTGTCTCATTCATGGTGTTCTTGAGACAAAATCCCTTTCCTTGATTGCCCTCTCCTGCATTCTAACACAAAATTGACTTTTTAGCTTCATCCTCATTTCTCTTTCCTAAAAGGGAAGTGAGAGAATTCTAAGAAGGGGGCATATTTATAACATAGATCTAAAGAGTCTGTTTTGTACCAGGGCTTCATGCTCTTGCTTGACTTTTTTTTGTTGGGGGGGGTCCAGTTGTGGGGCTTGAACTCTGGGCCTTGGCGCTGTCCCTCAGCTCTTCAGCTCAAGGTTAGCGCTCTACCACTTGAGCCACAGCACCATTTCTGGCTTTTTTTCTTTTTGCTTATGTGGTGCTGAGGAATCGAACCCAGGGCCTCAGGCATGCAATACAAGTGCTCTACCACTGAGCCACCTTCCCAACCCAGCTTGCTTGACTTTTTTTTCATCTAAGGCTGGCATTGTACCACTTGAGCGACATCTTCATTTCTGGCTTTTTTTTTTTTTTTTTTTTTTTGCTGATAAAGTTGGAGATGAGAGTCTCTCAGATTTGTCTCCCAGGGTTAGCTTTGAACCAGATCTCAGCTTCCTGAGTAGCAAGGGTTACAGGAGAAATCCAATAGTGTGTGTGTGTGTGTGTGTGTTCCAGTCCTGGGGCTTGAACTCAGGGCCTGGGCACTGTCCCTGAGCTTCTTTTGCTCAAAGCTAGCACTCTACCACTTGAGCCCCAACTCCACTTCCAGCTTTCTGATAGTGGAGATAAAAGTCTCATTGACTTTCCTGCCCAGGCTGGCTTCAAAGCACAATCCTCAGAACTCAGCCTCCTGAGTAGTTAGGATTACAGACGTAAGCCACTGACAGCTGACTCCAGCGATTTTTATTCAACCAGCCAGTCAGTCATCCAGATGAGAACATTGAAGGCAGCACTAGAGAAAGAATGGTGCAGGCCCCTGGACTCTGCTCCACTTTAATCAGTATCTCTCTGTCCCTTTGCAGGTGGGGAACACAGCCTTGATTGTGTTTGTGAGCTATTTTGGCAGCCGAGTACATCGGCCCCGTATGATCGGCTGTGGGGCTGTGTTGGTGGCCCTGGCAGGCCTGCTCATGAGTCTCCCGCATTTCATCTCGGATCCATATCGCTATGACCACAGCAGCCCTGGTAAGAGCAGGAAGGGCTGGGCAGGAGACTGATGGGTGCTTGCAGTCCTGCACCAATGCTAGGGCCACTGCAGGCCTGCACTGAGTGGGAAGGTGCTGCCCAGGACACCTGCTAGTCCTCCCCATCCCCATCCTCGCACTGTCCCCTGAGCCAAGCTCAGGTGGATCTCTCTGGTAGGCCCCAGGAGCAGGGTATGGAGTAATTCCAGGGCAGGGGAGAAGCCTTCTAGTCCTTTCTTGGTGTGAGCTAGCCCATGTGTGGTTTCTTTGGGGTAGGGATGAACTTAAAACAGCCTGCTTTAGGATCTAATGTGGAGTGGATCCTAAGAAAACTCTTGAGAAACAATAATAACAAGACACTTCTCCAAGCGCTTTATGTGTAGTCATGCATTTGATTCTCATAAACAACCAACACACTAATAAAAGAAAGAATAAGTGAATAAACAAAAAATGAAGAAAAGTTGTTTTTCCCAGGAATGAGGCTGGAACTTGGGGCCTGGGCACTATCCCTAAGCTCTTTTGCTCAAGGCTAGTGCTCTACCACTTTGAACCATAGCTCTACTTCCTGTTTTCTGATTGCTTATTAGAGATAAGAGTCTCAAGGACTTTCTAGCCACGGCTGGCTTTGAACTGTGATCCTCAGATATCAGTCTCCTGAATATCTAGGATTAAAGGCATGAACCACTAGTGCCCAGCAAAAATGAAGGAATCTTAAGAATAACAAAACCTTGTTCAGCCCAGTGAAATGTTGTTGTGGGTCAACATAAGAAAGACCCAAGTTCATTCTATCCCTCTCCTACTTACCTATCAGCCTCCCCACCTCCTTATCCTTTCTTCATCCATTCATTCCTGCATCTACACATCCATCTGTCCATCCACCTACCCACTCATGTATCCATCCATGCATCCATTCACCCATATATCCATCCATCCATCCATCTATCCATCCATCCAGGTATCCATCATCCATCCATTCACTTATCCAGCCATTCACTCATCCAGCCAATGGTCCATGTAACTTACTCTTAATACTACCCTCCTGACCCCTTCCAGAGCATTCTAGTCCTTACATCCAGAAAGCTCCCAGGAGACAGAAGAAAGACAAGCAAAACACCCAACATGTCAGTTGCATGAGGGGAAGCATCCCAGAAGACGAGCCCATGCCCCAGCCAGGCATCAAGAGAGTTTCCCAGGGGAGAGAACAGCCTTTTCCCCCCATCCTCCTAGCAGCTCCCACCTCTGGAGCCACCAAGACCAGGGGAGAAATGATGAAGCAGATATGTCCCTTGACATATGGGTTGGAGTAAGTGTGAACGATTCCCCAAGTAAGGAAAGAATCATGTTTCTGGAGGGGGCTGCAAGGGGCTGGGGGTAGCAGTGGAGAGAAGGCCAGCATTGTATTGCCAGTGGAGGCAGGAATGGATCAGCAGAGAAGGAGAGTACCTGAAGATGCAAATGGGGGTGGGGAGGCATCCTGGCCTGAGTGGATAGCTGTCAACAGAATGCTGGCTAGTGATATTTCCTTGTATTTCTTTGTCCAGAATTTCCATGTCAGCAGAACTTTTTTTGTGCAAGGCACACATGCCCCCTTTTTAAAAATTCACTGCCAACCCTGATTAAAGCCCTTCTCCCCTTGATTATAGTCCCTTGTATTTACTAAGGGAGTGTCATCCTGTGACACACCCTTGTCCTGTTCTTCATCCATCCTTCCTCCAATATTTCTACAGATGTATGAAGTGCCAGAAAAACAGCAGACAGGCTCTCTAGAATAATCATCTCATCTAAGGTCCAGTAGATAAGAGCACCATTCACAACCTACCCTCTCTGTGGTCAGAGTCCTCACTATTTCCTCCCAGGTGGGGATACTGAGGCTCAGAGAGGAGGTAACCCACCCCACCCCCACCCCCATCCCCAGCCTGCAGCCATTAGAACTATGCCTACAGCCCTGCTCTGAACTGATGAACTCTCTACCTTTGGAGTTCTCATCTTTAGCAAACTGTGGTTCTAGAAATTTTATTTAAGAGGGTCAGAGGGGCAAGGGTCTCTGTTCAAGTCATACAGTGAGGCCAACATCCAGGATTTTGACCTTAGGTTGCAGGGAGTGGCTCTCTGAGCTTTGCTGGCTTTCACAAAGGGAGAGCTTCATAGAAAAGGCCACTTTGTGTCCACGTTTGGCATAATAACAGTGTGAGGGTCTCCTCAAGTTTGCTCAACAAATATTGGTGACCCACAGGGAACAAATGTCTGGTACTAAATTAAGTAATTAGTCATTCCTGCATTCTGTGTCTGTATCCTGAGCTGACACTGTGTCCTTAAAATAAACTCTAAGGAACCCTCTATGGCCCTGCTGGACTTCCCTCCCCTGGCTAGTTCTTCCTGTATGCCTGGCCTGTTCTCATGTACTTTGATTTCATTCTCTCTCTCTCTCTGTCTCTCTCTTCCCCTTTTCTCTCTCCCCCCTTTCTCTCTTGCCTTTCCTCTCTAGCTCTCTGTCTCTGTCTCTCTGTCTCTGTCTCTGTCTCTCTGTCTGTCTCTCATGCTGTGTATGCACATGTAATCCATGTAATCCAATGCTGGGGTTTGTACCCTTAAGGGTCTGGGTGCTGTCTCTTAGCTTTTTTTTTATGCAAAGACTGATACTCTACTACTTGAGCCACACCTCCACTTCCAGCTTTTTTGTTGGCTAATTAGAGATAAGAGTCTCGGGGATTTTTCTGCTTGGACTGGCCTTGAACCTCCATCTTCAGATCTCAGTCTCTTGAACGGCATGATTTCCCCCATCCTGACGTTACTATACCCACATGGTGCACTTTTGAGACTCTGGGTTTATTCATACTATGACGGCTCCCTGGGCCCACCTTTCTTGCCTCTTTTTCTAGAAAATCTTGTTTTTTCTTCTGGACTCAGTTCAAATTCTAACACTCCTTCCTATTTTGACCATCTCACTTCACCTAAGAGCCACCATGACCCCAGCACTTTCAAATGGCTCTGCTTTGAAAGGTAGCACAGGAAAGTTTAATAGCAGAGAGTCAGAAGCCAGACCACCTGGGCATCCACAGTCCCTTGTGTCTGCTAAGTGCTGTGTGCATTCGCTATGATTGTTTCTTTATTATCATCTCTCAGAGGACATGTTTCAGGACTCCAAGACTTCCTTCTGTCTGCCCACAACCTCGGCCCCAGCCTCTGCTTCTTCCAATGGCAGCTGCTCAAGCTACACAGAGGCCAGACATCTGACGGTGGTGGGGATCATGTTTGCAGCACAGACCTTGCTAGGTGTGGGTGGAGTGCCCATTCAGCCCTTTGGCATCTCCTACATCGATGACTTTGCTCACCACAGCAACTCACCCCTCTATCTTGGTGAGGATCATTTTATCTCTTGGGTCCTGATAATCAGGTCAGGTTCAACTGGGAGGAAGAGAGGCCCAGGGTGGAGGCTGGGCATTGAATTCTTGGCTTCTGGCCCCATGTGGCTAGGAAAGGTGTGGAGAAGCCCTAAAGAGGTCCTTAGTCTTGATGGCAAAGGTTGGCCTGCACTTGAACGTGAAGAATGGGCTGGTACCAAGCTGCTGAGGGCAGCCTGGGACAGAGGGTCCTAACCTAGGCCTTGTGTTACAGGGCTCCTGTTTGCAGTGACCATGATGGGGCCGGGCATGGCCTACGGGCTGGGCAGCCTCATGCTACGCCTTTATGTGGACATTGACCGGATGCCAGAAGGTGAGCCCCAGGAGTGTGCGTTTGTCTCTAGGGCCACACCGATGGTAGCTAACTGACCAGTGGCCTCCTAGGAGACATTGAACCAGCAACCAGCCGTGCCACTGACCTTGGACATGCCTTTCACCTTTCTGGGCCTCAGTTTCCTCATCCTTGAGAAAATAATCTGTCCTATCTCCCAAAGCTGCAACCATCTAGTGAGGCAACAGAGGTGAACTCAAGTGGCATCAGAGAGGATCTGTGCTTTCTCTCCCTTCTATTGCCGAAACCCTTCCCCAGACCCTCAGCCCAGCATGTTGTGGGCAGGCAAACACAAACAAACAAATTTTAAAAAGCTTCTGCCTGGTCCACGGAGAGCTTCGTGTGTCTTTAGAGAAACCAGCCTTAGGAGATCCGTGGGGACCATAGCACCCTGGGACAATTTAGAACAGGACTCATGGCATGTGTCACTTTGGGCTTCTTCCTGAAGGAATGTGAACGAAGGGTCCTTCTAGTCCTGACAACCAGAGAGTCTGAAGAAACGCTAGATCTGGTCTCTGATCCACCTAGAGGCCAGAGTGGGCCAATGGCTGGGGTTCAGTGTAAAAGTGGCCAGGGCAGAGGAGGAATGTCTGTGATGCCAGAACTTCTGGGCCCTCAGGGCTGGGATGGGTTCCTATGAGAACATGCCTGCTTGTAAGCTCTGGGCACCTTCTGCCTCTTACCCAGAAGTCCTGTCTCTCATCTGAAGGTTTTCCAGCATGTTCTAGAAGCCTTGGGGGGGGGGGGGAACAAGTGTATGGCTGAATGGATATTTGTTCTTCAATGTTTGTTCCCTGGATATCTCCACCCAGGACAGTTCTGTACGACAGTCACTGGAGACAGTCCTGACCTTCTAGAACTCTAGGACCGAGTCAGACAAGGCTGTGATTGAGTCCCTTGCTCTCCTTGAAGGAAAAGTCCTGGGAGCTATGTTTCTTAGGTTTGCCAAACACCCCTCTGCTCTGTCTGTGTAAATAAGGTGTTTCCCAAGGCTTTCGTAGTAGAGTAGGTAGGACAGGCAGATCTTGCCTTCTGCAGGTACAGACTGGCTTGTGCTTGAGGAGGGATTGGAAAATGTATGTGAACTTTCTCTAACCTAGCACAGAAGCAAGTGAGGAGTAAATCAAGTCCCCTCTATACAAAATTGGTCCCCATCCCAGCTCCACAGACTGCAGTGTGCCTGGAACAGCTCAGGGTCCAGCACATGGAGAAGCTCCTACACAGTGATAGTTGGTACATTTCACCCTGGTGTTGCTTCAGGCACCCAGCTCAACCTCAGGCTATGAAGGTTTTAAGTTGTGCACTGCAGCCCAGAGGTACACTGGAAATAATCTAGTAAAGCCACATGCCTTTACACTCTATCCTCTGGTTAGACTGAGTGGGACTTCAATGATGCCAAGGAGTTTTGACAAACAGCCCCAGTGATTTTGTGCCTAGCCAGGTCTAACTACAAACAGCTCTGTTATTTAGTAATAGTAATTTAATAGTAGTAGTAGTAGTAGTAATTAAAGAAGGAAAGAAGGGACAAATACTTTATTATAATATTGTTTGCATGTATTGGGACTTTGATTTTTTTTTTTTTGGTCAGTCATGGAACTAGCACTGTCCCCAAGGCCTGGCCACTGTCCCCAAGCTCTTCATCTCAAGGCTAGTGCTCTATTACTTGAGCCACAGTGCCACTTCTGGTCTTTTCTTTTTATGTGATACTGAGGAATCCCGAACCCAGAGCCTCATGCATGTGAGGCAAGCACTCTACCGCTGAGCCACCTTCCCAGCCCGGAGCTTTGAATTTTAAACTTTTAGTTTAAAATTCGTTTTAGCTTTACATGTATTCTTTTCTATAATGGTCACAAGCTTATGATATAAAATAATGTTTAGTTAAGCACAGTAGTGCAAGCCTATAATCCCAGAGCTCAGGTGGCTGAGGCAGGAAGACTGGAAGTTTGAGGCCATACTGGGCTACATAACAAGAGTCTCAAAAACTACACACACACACACACACACACACACACACACACAAAACCATCTTTATCCCCAGTATGTCTCCCCAAAGCACTATTAATATCTGTGTATCACAAAGGAGGAAATGGAGGCACAAAGAGATTCAAGAGCTTGCTCCAAGTTATAAGTTATTAAAGGGTTGCTGGGAAGGTAGCTCAGTGGTAGAGCGCTTGCCTTGCATGCATGAGGTCCTGGGTTCAATTCCTCAGCACTACATAAGCAGAAAAAAAAAGCCGGAAGTGGCACTGTGGCTCAAGTGGTAGAGTGCTAGCCTTGAACTGAAGAGCTGAGGGACAGTGTCCAGGCCCAGAGTTCAGGCCCCATGACCAGACCCAAAAAAAATGTTATTAAAGGGTTATCTAGTAGTTTATTTCTAACTCTATGACCTTGACTGCTATACCATATTACCTTAGTAGCTAAAGAAGCTAAAGCCCAGAAAGAAAGTCAGGTTCTTCTTCTTCACACAGACCATAAGTGGCAAGGGCAAGACTAGAATGCAAGTCTCCTGATTCCTGGTCCTGGCTGCCTTACGTCCCAAAGGTCAGTCCTAGGGTAGTGTCATAGAAGTGACAGCCCATCCTGGCCTTATATCACCTTCGTTTTCTCTTCCAGGTGGTGTCAGCCTGACCTCAAAGGACCCCCGATGGGTGGGTGCCTGGTGGCTGGGCTTTCTCATCTCTGCTAGCCTGGTGGCACTGGCTGCCATCCCCTACTTCTTCTTCCCCAAAGAGATGTCCAAGGAGAAGCATGAGCTCCGCTTCAGGAAGAAGACCTTGACTGATCCAGCCTCACCTGTCAGCAAGGTAAGTCTCCCTCCACGTCCCGCCCTAGGCCAGGCTCTGGCCCCAACTCACTGAACTTCCTCCCTTGCGGGCTCTGCACTTCACTGCTATCAAGCTTGACTGAGTCCTAAGCATCCTCCAACAGCTTCTCACAGTGACTACCACAGACCCCTTCCATGGCTGAGGAGAGCTAGGGCCAGAGAAAGTCACAGACCCAGACCTGCCTGAGTCCATGCTCCTCAGCGCTGGTCATTTAGAGTCTTGTAAATTCTGAATACATTATAGGAATGGAAAGAACTGAAAGCTATGGGAATTGGTCTGGGAAGACTTTCCGGAAGGAAGATTTGAGCTGGACCTGCTAAGATTTGAGGAAGTATAGAAAGGAGAGGTGTAGGCATTGCAGTGACGGAAGCAGCCTGAGCGAAGGATTTGGCCTGTAATCTTAGCTACTTGGAAGGCTGAAATTTTGAGGATCTCAGGTTGATGTCAACCCCGCAAAAAGTCCATGAAACCCCCATCACAACCAATAAAAGCTGGGCCTGGTGACACCTGCCTGTCGTATCCCATCTACTTGGAATAGTCAATAGGAGGATCACACTCCAGGATGATGGGGGTGGGAAGGGAGGAGCGAGACCCCATTTGAAATGTAACTCCAGTGGTAGCGTGCCTGTCTAGCAAGTACGTGGCCTTGCGTTCATTCCCTAGTAACACCAGTAAGCACAATTTAAAAGAAAGAAAGAAAACTGTGCAAGACAAGGAGAGTTTGTGGAGAGAGCCAATGAGGGAGCTATGGCGACAGCTCAGGCAGGAAGCAGAGCACCGGCAGGTAAAAGGGACTGCTCAGACATGCATTCTCATTCTTCTTGGAAGGTTTCAGAAGCGATGAAGGGCTGGGCTAATGCTGGGGCTAAGCTAGAGAGTGGGGGTTACACCAGATGAAGGAGGGGGAGTTCTGAGGGGAAAGGAACTCAGCTGAAAACCCCTGTGTCTCCATTTCAGTCCTGCCTAGCTCAGGCCAAAATATGGTGGAGATGGCATTCTGGTAGCTTGAACAAAACTTCCTGGGAGATGGGGTGATTGTAGAGGAAGGCTAGAGGCTCTATTGGTTACAGAAACTCTCCAGACTGGGCCCTTGGATAGAGAACGCCAGTGGGCAATGGGATGGGACAAGTGGGTGAAGCCAGGACCACTGTGCTGGGCTCGGTCACATGCCAGCCGTGTGACCAGGAGTGGTCAGTCACTTCCTCATTGTCCTGCTGTGCAAGGTTCAGATAAGGGGCAGAAAAGGTTCAATTCCTAGTAGAGCAATATGCCGCGTGCCTGGGATTCAGAGAAAGTGCCATCCTGTGTGGGAACTGCTGTGATTCCTTCCTGGAGTCAGTTTTTGAGAGCTCTGTGTTACGAAGCTGGTCCCTGCCTGTGAACCTGTCTGGCTCTCTCCCTTATTATTGTGTCAGCACATTGGAGAGGGGGTGTAGGGAGGGGAGGGGGTGAGAGGTTCTTTAAAAAGCACTGAAGGCTGAGCACATGATGATTTGCTTCCAGCAGCTCTGGAGCAATAAACATTGATGTGAGAGGACTGGTTCCTCCGCCTCCTTGGAGCTGCCTTGGTGGCGCGGCTAGCGCTATGGCTGCCTGGCCTGATCCACTATGACTACTGCTGGGAGGTGCACAGGTCAGGAGGACAGGCCCAAGTAGACAAAAATTGACTGTCAGAAAGTTCAGCTCCCAAAAGCTGGAACTGTGTCTTCTGCAGGAATGGGAAAAGGGAGAAAGCAAAGGGTAGGGCTGTTTTGGAAATCACTTCAAGTATCCTTTCCTCAGGCTTAGGATTCAGGGGGCCTCCAAATGTCATCTAAAAGTAAATTGGGTTGGGGAGGGGGGAGGTTGGTGTTGATATTGGGGCAAGGATCCGGAGCCTGGGAGTTATCCCTTGGCTTTTATGCTCAAGGCTGGTGCTTTAGCACTTGGGCTATATAGCTTCACTTCTGGTTTTTTGGTGGTTACTTGGAGTTAAGAGTCTACAGACTTGGGCCGGGTGCTGGTGGCTCACGCCTGTAATCCTAGCTACTCAGGAGGCTGAGATCTGAGGATTGCGGTTCAAAGCCAGCCCAAGCAGGAGAGACTGTGAGACTCCTATCTCTAATAAACCACCAGAAAACCGGAAGTGGCGCTGTAGCTCAAGTGGTAGAGCGCTCGCCTTGAGCTGA